CCCATACTCACTTCCCTCTCACCCATACTCACTTCCCTCTCACCCATACTCACTTCCCTCTCACCCATACTCACTTCCCTCTCACCCATACTCACCTCCCTCTCACCCATACTCACTTCCCTCTCACCCATACTCACTTCCCTCTCACCCATACTCACTTCGTACATCACCGACCGCTGTAACAGCAGTAGTCGTGTAACACTCAATTCTCTTGTGAATTAGAATTTTCTGTTTTTTTCATCATATTTTGGCATTTTTTGTTGTTGTTGAATTTAACTCCTCCAAGGAACGTGTTTGAATAGAAATACCTACATGATGTAGTGTCAATATAATGGCATCCCTACACTGTCACTCTGTCCGCCGTGATGGTGACAGCCCAACACTGCATAACTCACTATACAGACATAAAAAAATTCATGATAACCTTAACTATATGATGTAGTATAGTATAGTTACCATCCAAATAAAAAACATACCCGTTTCTTATTGTACATTCATTTTATTTCATTTTAAGGTTTAGCCCTTCATTTTAAAAGCATTTCCATATGCTCTTGCTCACATATAAATCACGAATACTTATTGATGCGTCGAGTATGAAAAACAGTGTGGCTATTGAATGAGTGTGTTGATACGTTATTAGTGTCCTAGCATATGACTACAGTGATCGCGTGAAAGTTGTGTTCTTTTGACTTGATGGGAGAGCTTTAATAAATTTCTGCCCTCTTCAATTCGCTCTAATAGTGAACATGACGTTGCAAACAATTTAAATACAAAGTTGAAATTCGTGCCCTGTAAATTTTAAGAGATTGCCTCTAACAAATTCTGCAGGATTAATTCATCCGTAATCCCCGCCATTATCACAAGGGAAAAGGAAAAGTTACCCTTATTAAGAATTTATAGACAAATTAATTTCTAAATATGTGTGGAAAATAGATAATAAGATCGGAGGACAAATCCCAGGCTGGATTCTCAAAAAATAGTTCCGTAACCGTAAATTTTCTGCTGATCACAATCTTTCTGCTTCTAATATTCAATTATTGTTGAATTTTTGAAAGTAAATACTGATCGGCTGTTGATTTCGAGTTACGGTCTACTTTTTGGGAATCTTCCTGGATGAGTACACCGTATCTGCGAGCGCGTCTGGTGAGTATGTCTCGATGTGTAGATGTTTGCTGGTATTTTGATGTCGCGATTAGTAATACGCTTCTTGGAACAATATTTTATGATTTATTATGCTGAATTATCCTGATTCATTATTCATCACCAGTTAAAAACTGTGAAGGATTTTATTTTTAGTCACTTGATCCGTCTTCACCCGAAATGTGCTTGTCACTGGTATCTTCAACTAAACTCGTTTTCATAATTGTCCTTTAAGTAATCAAGTCGTTATTATTTAAATTGCACTTGATTCCTCATAATCATCAAAATTTCCCTTTAAATTCCTGAGAATTTGGAGAAAATTAAATGCATGCACAAACAAAATATCAAATTCATTGTAGTTTTTGAAGTTACAAGAAGCGTCTTACAAATAAATTATCAAGTCGTGTGCTTTAGTCGCTTTTAATTTAAATTTTCTTTTAAGGTGGTCCTTAAGGTGGTTTAAAAGACGACTAATGGGCGGCCATTAAAAATGTCATTCATGTCAAGTATTGAGCGCCAAGAAATTTTGGTTTTTACTTTCAGGTCGAATTCTTAGTGATATTTGACGAACTACGCGGGAATTTGAGTCATTTTTAATTTCTTTTAGACACAAATGAATAATTTTTTGATCGCATCGTGCTTACATTTGAATAATTAAAACCTGTCTTTATTGAAAGAAACTGATCAAAACCTTTTGTTATTAAATGGAAATGATCAAAATCCGTCATTAGCTTGGAATGAAAAGTTACACCAAATTCAATAAAATAGCTCGGCAAGGATGAGTTGAATATCATATTATTTTAATTTCTCCTTATTCATTTCATACAACAAAGTGGGGTATCCAAATTTTGGGACCACCTAGGTTGCGGCTGAATAGTCGCTACATTAGGCGCAAAGTTATTCTTAGTCTGCTTGGACACCCGATCAAAATCAGTTTCTGGCCACAATCTTTTTCCAGCTTTATAGTCGCCTGAGAGTATGACAAGGGTTGGCCGAGCCGAGTCATTCCGAGCTTGCAAGCTGCCCAGAGGCTGTCATTCAAACCCTGAGCAGAAGCGGATATATAGAAGCTGATTTACGTGCTCCCCGAATCCTAGGGGGCACGAATTTCAGAGTCGGGCATGTATCATAATTTTGTTAGGGTTTCTGCCTCGCTACGCTCTAAGAGTGTATATGAAAAATAGCACCTGCAGCAGCCAGGATGTAATTTTGTCAACAAATGTAAAAACTCGGAGGAGAATTTTATAAGTTATTTCGTTTTTGAAGAACGTTACATTTTCTATGCTGTCTTTGTGAGAAATCACTCAATACAGCAACACAACTTGAAATTATTCAACTATCACTGTTATTTAACTTTTTTTTAAAGTCTCTAGAAAAGCACCTAAAATATTTATTTCAAAATATAATTAGTAATTTTTGGCCAATCATCTTCCTTTGCGACTAATCGCGATAGACGACGTTCTATTAAATTTAGCGACGATGTACATTACGTGAAAAGCTTGAGCTTTCGATGGATTCTGTGTGCTTTGATGTTGCATGAATGTAAACTGCGTGTGCATGCCGCTTATGTTTAACTATATTAGTGATTTAATTGTCGCAGGTGAGTACAGTTGTCTGCGCGTGGACTTTATCTTCAAGCGGGAGTTCTCTTACTACTTGGTGCAGTTCTACGTGCCCTGCTGCATGCTCGTCATCGTATCTTGGGTCAGTTTCTGGTTGGACCCGAATGCTGTTCCGGCGAGAGTGGCACTTGGGGTAACAACGCTACTAAATATGTCTACACATGCTTCCAGTATCAACCAGTCTCTCCCTCCTGTTTCCTACACTAAGGTATCTTGATAACTGGCATGGTCTTCTTTGCCCGGTTAACGAAACGTTCCGTTCAATCACACAGGTACCTACAGCTGCCTTCAGGTTGACTTGGTGTTCAAGAGAGAATTCTCGTTCTACTTGATCCAATACTACGTACCATGCTGCATGCTGGTGGTGGTTTCGTGGGTCAGCTTCTGGCTTGATGCCCAATCCGTACCGGCACGCGTGTCGCTGGGCGTCACAACTCTGCTCACCATGTCAACTCAGACCTCCAGTATTAACCAGTCGTTGCCACCTGTCTCCTACACTAAGGTACATCTCTTTCAAAAGAACCACTTAAAGACAATGACCAGCTCTTTATGGCCGTACAGGTTCGTACAGTTGTCTGAGGGTCGACTTCGTTTTCAAGCGGGAGTTCTCATACTACCTCATCCAGTACTACATCCCCTGCTGCATGCTCGTCATCGTTTCTTGGGTCAGCTTCTGGTTGGATGCCAAGAGCGTGCCGGCGCGTGTATCGCTCGGAGTCACCACTCTGCTCACCATGTCGACACAGACGTCAAGCATTAACAATACGCTGCCACCTGTGTCCTATACAAAGGTTAATGGCTGTCGGTGTTGCTGTGCCACACAGCTCAACTTAATGGCCTTGCATGTTGTCGGCGTCGCGGTGTCTTGAGCAATGCAAAATACCACACACAAACACACAAGAACACACAAATGCACCAGCACCCACACTCATCGACAACAGCAATACCAGTACATGCCATATTGAATGTACTGAAGCAGTATTGAAACAGTGTTACTTGTGCGCCTTCAGTATCCAGCGGTGAAGTCAGTATCCGCGATCATCTTTGGCATCCTAGAGAATTAAGCTCACTCTCATGTCACCATACAGTTTAGCATCAATTAAAAAGTTAATAAATTTTCATCAATTGTTCCATATAAATTGAACTTTATACATCTATTTTTTAGTTTCAATTATCACTAATTTCTCGTCCTGTCACTCGTTTGACCATTCATACGTCGCGAAATTCATTTTTAAATGTACATTTGTCATGCTATGCCTCCTGAAGCACGATTAAGTAGAAAATTTCTGGTGCACCTTTTGGTGCCGTCTCCATTGAAAGACATTAACAAATCCATGCAAAAATCTGCGAACTTTTTGTAAAGTATTCCCTAAAATTGTGTAAGAAATATACATGAATTTTATGACGAATATATTGCATGATATAACCTTCCTGTAGATGTAGACGGACCTTTAAAATTCAATTGGCATAACGAATTCACACGAATATTTTTTGATAAAATAACTCCATAGTTGTCTTCCAATTTCAGAATGATTGATTTTATTCCATATTTGTCAACAAACAAGTGATAAGAAGCCAGTTTGAGTTTCCGAAAAATTGAAAACTAAAACAGGAAATAATTTCTGTGAATCAATACCAAATTTAATACATAAATCTCGATTGAAACAAAATTCAATGAAGCCTAGTAAAATACATTCGCTTATCAACTTACATTTTACTGTAGAGTAAAATTAATTCAAAATCCGACCAATGAACTGCCAACAAAAGTCGTTCTGGTATCACTGTTACAATGACTGCAGCTTCCCTCCCTCGCCAACCCTGCATCTTCTCATCTGCACCCACGAAAATAAATGGCTTTATTGTCCAAATAGTGAAACACTTTCTCACTCAACGCACGAGTACGTTACCTCACTCACTTAACGCACGAGTACTGATACTCCTTTTCGTCGGGTCAAACTTGTGTTATGACCAACATAAGCGCATAAAAAGTGCTTCGTTATTTGGACAACTTCTCCCACAATTCTCCGTGCGTGCTCCTCTCGATGTTACTCTACCCCTCTTTGCGGGGTATCTTAATCTTAAATTCTTCCTTGACGAATTTAAATTTATTTCCCTTTAAATTTATTCCCCTACATACCCTTTAACTAAGAGTGTCAACTAAACTGCATAACTAATTCATAACTAAATGGGAATGTACATTTTAGCACTATGAGTGTACAACAAATTAGCACACTATGAGTGTACAAATTAGAACACTAAGTGTAGGGAGGGAGTTAGCGTCAGTTTAACATATTTCGCAACCGTCTAAAATTTTCAGCCATCTCTAGTGCACGGGAAGAATAAAATTTTTTAGGCATTGCTAATTTTTTTGTTCTGTTTAATGGATCATTATTTCAAATTATGTGTGATTATTTGTTTAAATCCTGTAGGTTCTATTTTATAGCGATTCAATAATATTTCCAAACTTTCATTTATTACAGTTACCCTTAGATTTCCTTTTTACGAGCTAAAATCAAGATCAATGTAGTACTTTAATTTCTCCTACATACAGTGGACTTTACTACGTGTCTAAAGTTTATTGCGGTCATTGTGAGCCTTAAACGTAGAACAACAATGACGATCACCAGACAAATTGCATGGGTCTAAAATCGTTAGAATATCAGCCCGAAGTCGACAAAATATCACTTCAACATGAGCGGAATATCGGCACACCATGCTCATAGTTTTGGCCCTACATTATTAGAATATCAATCCAATATCGGCGAATTATCGGCCCAAAATTGGCAAAATATAGGCTAAAACGGTAGAATGTTGGTCAAAGCTCAACTAAATATAGCTGCCCAAATCGACAGAATATCGGCACTCAATCTACCCAATATTATCGAAAAAATGTCTCCCCTTTCACTGAGTTTACCCAATGATAGAACTTTTGCGTTGTCCATGCCTGAAAAAATTACGAATTCAACTTCGACAACTTAAAAGATTTTCATTAAGAAATAAAATTCTTGAACGATACAGAAATTTAGCTACACACATTTTAGGCAAACAACACTGCAAACCTTTACTAAACACTCGAAGTTTACGATTACTAACCATGTTAACCGAATTCCTTAGCTCTTCTTTCCGTCTTTTCTCCATTTTCACGTCTTGCTTTAATCCAAATGTTGTATTCCATTGTTGAGAAATCCCAATTGAAACGATCTACTGGAACAAATAGTGAACTACACGCTAGAGTCATTAATATTGAAGAGTACGAAACCAATTATTGAACCAATTATTAAGTACGCAAATAATTTGACTATCATTTTAATCATACTAATTTTTCAATCATATATAACATACTTATTTCGCACCCATCATCCCAAACACGAACTCTCCCTACAACGACCCCCCCGGCATTTGTTGTACGCTTTTTTGTTCGCATTCGTATCCGTTGTCGATGTATTAATTTAGACTTGTTTCTAGATTTAAGATCGCATTTATCTAAGTTAAACTGCATGGTCCTCATTTGTTTTTAAATGATTGTGCTTTGTCCCATGATTAAAAACTTTTTTAAATTTAGAGTTTAATCTTTAGTTACATAAACTATCATCTCTTATGTCTTCTAGGGTTAATAATGTTCTAATAATAAAGTTGTTTATTTTTGATGAGTTTCCCATGGAAATAATTTATTGATATTCACTTTGTTTCCTTGTGCTCAGTGCAGGCTCATACATCTCCTCTGTTGTCTATGTTTGTACTCCGGGAGTGAATAAGTCACGTTGCCCAGTAAAATCTCTTTTACTGCACCTAGCTCTGGTACGCAGTTTTGACGGCCTAATTGGATTAGGATGAGCCTAATAAGGCCTAAAAACTAAATTGCAATTTGGACCAACTTTTACCTAGTAATCTGAATGCATGGCGGTCCGTCAATTCAACTTTCATTGGCTGATTTTGCAATTAATTAATCTTCTACAATGTTTTTCTTTATTGTATTAACCCATAAAAAACTGCAAATTTTAGAAACGAAAAAATAAATTTAAAAACGAATTGAAACTTATTAAGTCGTAACGAACTGAACATTCGCAACATTTTACGAATGTAAAGTAACACAAATTTACGATTTCCTACCATATATATTTCATCGAACTCTTACAAATTCCTTGCTTCAGCTCCATGAGAATGCCTAATAATTTTGCTAAATTTGTGAAAATCCATTCGATGCTGTCAAACATTTTTTTTTTTTGATAACTAAGCATCTTCCTGTAGCTTTCACACATCTTTCTGAGGCGATTTAACATTTAATTTGGTATTTATGCAAACATCGTTTTACGCTCACATTTTTTCCTAACCTAATCAAACGCTAGTTTTTCATAAGAATTTGAAGGAATAATTTTATGTATTCAATCATGTTCATATCATGCCAAACGTATTCCTGAGAACCCCGAAAATCATATTCTTCATATTGATATCATTCATGTGAAGTGAAATATGGTTGGGCTAACCGTACATGGTCACGAACTAGTCGTTCTGTCATACTACAACCAGGGTTGACTGAACCAGTCATTTTGCCATGCCACAACCAGGGTTGACTGAACTAGTTGTTTTGCCATATCACAACCAGGGTTAACTGAACTAGTTGTTTTGCCATTCCACAACCAGGGATGACTGAACTAGTTGTTTTGCCATATCACAACCAGGGTTGACTGAACTAGTTGTTTTGCCATATCACAACCAGGGTTGACTGAACTAGTTGTTTTGCCATTCCACAACCAGGGATGACTGAACTAGTTGTTTTGCCATATCACAACCAGGGTTGACTGAACTAGTTGTTTTGCCATATCACAACCAGGGTTGACTGAACTAGTTTATTTGCCATGCCACAACCAGGGCTGACTGAACTAGTCGTTTTCATATGCCACAACCAGGGCTGACTGAACTAGTCGTTTTTCCATGCCACAACCAGGGCTGACTGAACTGGTCGTTTTGCCATGCCACAACCAGGGCTGACTGAACTAATCGTTTTGCCATACCACAACTAGGGCTGACTGAACTGGTCGTTTTGACATACCACAACCAGGGCTGACTGAACTAATCGTTTTGCCATACCACAACCAGGGCTGACTGAACTAATCGTTTTGCCATACCACAACCAGGGCTGACTGAACTAGTCGTTTTGCTATACCCCGGCCAAAGCACACGACCTGTGCAGACTGAAAAGGAAGACCTCAACAGTATTGCTTTTACATTCTTTCTGTTTGCACTAATTATATTCAATGCAGCAACGCTCTTTGTATTTAATCTCTTACAAAAACAACGGGGATATTATTTGTAGCGTCCGTACATTGAAGCCCGACTAAATGCGACGCCTGTGGGCAGCGGGTTTACGGTAAGGCATTTTACCAGTACAGTCAGAAAATTCATGCGTCATTTGTTCAAATAGCGACGCACTTTTTATCCACAACCCAAGCAGAAAGCGAATTTACTTATGCAGCGTTCGGGATGACCCACACAAGGGCAAAAAAATGCATCGCTATTTGAATAAAGTCACACTAATTTATCTGAGTGAACTTTCTACTCAGCCGTTACTCCCCTCACACAACACAATGAGTTATTGTAAGTCTAACGACCGCGAGTATTTCCAGACTCGCTTCTTTCTTGGAAGGCGAGAACACCGGCAGTAATGTATTTCTGAGCAGGTGTGTCCTTTCCCACGCCGGCGAAGGGGTACAAATGTCTTATATTCTGTCTTTTCATATCCTTAATTTACACTTTCTCTCCTGTCTAATATAATATATTTAAAGTATATTATACATCCTGTCTTACATTCTCTCCAGTCTAATATAATTTATTTGAAATATTATATACATCCTTTTTTACACTCTCTCCAGTCTAATATAATACATATAAAATACTTTATACATCCTGTTTTACACTCTCTCCTGTCTAATAAAATATATTAAAAATATATTATACTTCCTGTTGTACACTCTCTCATGTCTAATAAAATATATATAAAATATATTATACATCCTGTCTTACACTCTCTCCTGTCTAATAGAATATATTTAAAATATATAAAATATCTTGTCTTACACTCTCTTCTGTCTAATATAATATATTTAAAATAATTGCTAACATTCCAGCAATCATCGACCAGCTCAAGATGTTGTAGAGCTGCAGGCAGCCTACCAGCCTGCGAACAGATGATTTACATTACCACTTTTAGAGGAACCTTCGCTTGAAATTTAACAGTTCAATATCTGGATGAGGTATAGGATTTTTGGTTAATCTTTGATAAGATTGCAAATCTAGTATTTTAGATAAAGGGTCTGCAAGCGCAAACTTACTTCAAACGTCTTTTCATTTTGTTAAAAAGTTTTCCGGCTGGATAAGATAGGCTGAGACGTCAAGCAAGAGATTAGTTGCCTGCTTCCAACAATTCAACCTTAACTTGCACTCTAACTCTAGTAATGATATCATCATCTTATCATATCAAGCTTCCGTCAAGCGTAATACGCCCAAGTTATGTTGCATAGCAATGAAGTTACCGCCCGAGCTGCCATATTAACTTACTAAGAACTGATCGACACGATGTGCGAATATTTGTTCAGTTGAAGGGAAATCGTTTCATTTCTTGAGTGAAAGTTTAGCCTTATTTCTTCTTTTTTCAACTAGTGGGAGTTTACCTTTTTTGTTTAACGAGTGGGAGTGTTGCTTTTTCTCTCTTTTTTTTTCTACCAGTGGGAGTTTAGATTTACTTTTTTTTCAACGAGTGAAATTTTTGCTTTCTTTGCTTAATTTTTTACCGAGTGGGAGTTTTACTTTTTTCTGTCTTCCAACGAGTGGAAGCTTAATTTTATTTTTTGTTCAACGATCGCCAAAACCATGTTTTTAAAGCCCCAATGCTCAGCGTTCAAATAACCCTGTTAATTTTGTTTGCCGAACTGAAGAACTGTATCTCGCCCTGCGCGCTAGATAGGGTCACGATTCGCATGCGTAAACACCGCTAGCAGTAAGAAATATCTGCTAGAGCTACATCCCCAGAAATCTTCCGGCGTTCGGAGCAGAATTCAGGAATAAAAAAATTTTTAATAACAAAAAATTTCCTAGTTGAGATTGAATGAACTAAACGAAAAATATCTACTTTGATGGTTAAAATTCTCTACTTTTTTACTAGCTGAAAAGAGTTTTTCTTAGATTTTTATCGTCAGGAAAATTTTTCTCTTGAACGATCGTTGACGCTTACAATTCCTCACGTTAAACAATGAGATTTTGTACCGAAGACTTTGAGCGTATTTTTGTGCACAAATGTGCAGTGTACAAATCCTTTTGTACAGTGTATTTTGTACACAATTTGAATGAATTTATTTAGACAAATCTCAACTCAAGTCGAGTGACTGGCTTTGTGTGCAGGCCATCGACGTATGGACGGGCGTGTGTTTGACGTTTGTGTTTGGTGCTCTGCTTGAGTTTGCCCTCGTCAACTACGCGTCGCGGTCCGACAAACACAGAGAGAAACTCAAGGATAAGATCAAGGAGTGGGAAGTGGAGCATCAGGCCGTGCTCCAGGCCCAGATGGAGCAAGCGGAGCACGGCAACCCTGGCGACCCACACTCCGGCTTTGCCATGGTGAGGAGGAACTTTGGTTTTTTATTATTTAATAGTTGAATTAATAAGGATCATTTGTATCCTTTTATATAATAGCTTAATTAAATAACCTTATATTGCTTTAATATAGGATTTCACTTAAGTTCATCAGCCATCTTTAATATGATAGCGTAATTGGAGCCCTTTCTAGCACGTTTTCTCATTTATGGAAAAAAGGCGCTATTGTGCTCGTCATGTCCGTCCGTCCGTCCGTGACCACGTTTTCGTAGACGAGAAAAGGCGCTCTCTGTCACTCACTGCAGTGAGTACTGAGTTACATTTTTGCTGTAAAAGCTTATTTAGGTCCCTTGTGGGCTTGTGGCTTCAAAGTCCTTAATGAATCAGAGAGCTTGCAGACTCAAAAGGTTGGTGCGCTTAGAGGGGTGGAGTGGTCTGAGGACTCAGAGAGCTTTAGGACCCAAATGGCTTGATATCATAATCAGCACTGTGAACATCAATCGGGTATCATATTCACTCTTTTATACAATCGGGCATCCAATCTGTGCTCTGTTATGTAAAGCACAGTGCAATTTTTAACCGTATTCTAGGCGTCAAAATTACATTCTGGTCAGAAAAACCTCAAAAAATTGTCTGTTCTGAATAAGAAATGAAACCAACACGACATTTTCAAAAAGATTGTTTCTCAACTACCGAACGCTTATCACTTTTTATAATCTCCTAGTCTCCGAACATTTTAATAACTTAAACGTCCCCCCTACCCGGTCCCATAGAAGCCCCTGGTGTCCCGCCACAACGGGGCCATGGGTCCCACCGGCGACAAGACCCAGCCCTGCCAGGTGCACCTGACGCAGACCCGCAAGGAGTGCTGCCACAGCTGGCTCGCCAAGTTCCCAACCCGCAGCAAGCGTATCGACGTCATCTCCCGCATCATCTTCCCGATGGTCTTTGCCTTCTTCAACCTGGCTTATTGGAGTACTTATCTCTTCACAGAGGAGGAGGAGATTCCTAAACAGCAGTAAGGAGTTTTGAGAGGAGAAAATTTCCTAGGAAGAATAAAGAGCTCAAAAGGAGCTGATTCTCAAGTAATGATAAAGCGGTTCAAGATGTACATGTTCCCAAGTATGAATAAAACGGTTCAAGAGGTACATGTTCCCAATTATGAATAAAACGGTTCAAGAGGTACATGTTCCCAATTATGAATAAAACGGTTCAAGAGGTACATGTTCCCAAGTATGAATAAAGCGGTTCAAGAGGTACATGTTCCCAAGTATGAAAAAATGGTTCAAGAGGTACGTACATGTTCCCAAGTATGAATGAAACGGTTCAAGAGGTACATGTTCCCAAGTAAGAATAAAGAGATTCGATTGGTGCATGTTCCGAAGTGGCATGGCTGGAGCTGATTTAGAAGCTAGAATAAAGGTCTTCAATGATGCAGAGTAAAAAGCAGTAAAAAAAAGGGCTCGGGTGAAGCTTATTCTCAGGGTTAATTGGAAGGTGTGGTATGGCGGAATTTTAGTCTAGAAAAATTCAGCAAAAAAACTTCTAAAAATTTTGATAAACTAAAAAATTTCTAACTCTCGACGAGAAGAAAATTTCAAGACCAGAACGGTAAGGATTCGGAAGGTAGAAGATTCTTAAGCGCGAATTAAATGTGATGCTGAGGCACAAGCGATTGCCCGAACTCATATGGAGTTGTGCTATGAAGCGATCTCCGATTTGTCGAATCGATTGCTACGAACCGACCTCCGGGTTCACACGAACTGGTAACATTTGTGTAACGAACAGATATCCGATTGGTCGAACCGATTGCTACGAACCGACCTCCGAGCTCACACGGACTGGTAACATTTGTGTAACGAACAGATGTCCGATTCGCCAGAACTTCGAACGACGACTTGTGCAAGCGGAGTTGATTAAACGAAATTTGGGCGCATTTTGAGTTTGAGGTGTGAGAGACTCGAACTTGCGATTCTTTACTTTACTAGTGAATATTATATTGCTAGTGTTACTGTATCAGCTTTTTCTTGTTAGCATCTTACCCACAGGACATGTAACGTTGAATTCACGTTCATTAATCGTTGTTTGAGTGAAAACAGCTCGCAATTAACGTGGCTATGCAACCGGCGGAGTTACAAGGAAGGTTGTTGTTGTATAACTGCTCAGATCGAATCTTAACCTCTGTTGTGGTGTGCTCACTGATAGCTTGAGTTAAAAAAATGTGCTTTAGAGATGTTGTTATTATTACGTGAAAGTTTTAGTGAGTTGTAAACTTTATGCTTTGTGTCTAAATATCAGAGAAGTAGAGTATTATATAAATATAAGATTATTACAGGGAATGAGTTGCGCACTTTCTTGAAAGAAAAATAACTTATAAATCAAGATAAATACGTTTCATAACTATTATAAATTTGTTTCATTTTTAACGACGATAAATCCCGAAAAATAAATTTCATAACTAGCAGAAATTTATTCCGAAATTTAACCAAGATAATTAGGATTTCTTATTTGATCTTTTACGACGTACTACACATTATCAAAACTTTTTCGAGTATAAAACACTCAAGCTAAAAAATAGCCTTGTATATTCAATCACAAGGCATCTTAATCTTCTAAGTTAAGATCAGCCGCCGTCGTGCACTGATAAAAATAACGGTGAAATAAACGGTCCGTCCGACGGAATGATGTTGAAATAACTCTTCAGTTGTTCAAAATAGTGACGAGTTGTTCATCCGGCTTTTAAATGGCGAGCTGCCACATCAAATTAAACCGATTAAGAGATTATGGTTTGGGTCTTATGTATTGACCAAATAACGGCAACAAACTTTAATGTCACGACGTGGCTGGCAACTGAAACGTCGGTCAGACCGTTTTTCCTAACAGTGACATAACAGGGCCAGTGGGTGGCGGCAGAATTGGTATAAACGTCGAATCCTCCATGACGGCTCCAAAAATATTTTTGAGACTACAGGCTCAGAATTAATTGAATTTAGTGGAACCCGCCATGATCATGGCTGGTTCATAAGTTCATAACACGAGTTTGAACATAAAAATGTTCAAATTCGACAATAGTCAATACTAAACATTTTTTGATGAGCATATGCTATTAGAAAATTAAATTATTGTTCCGCATTTCATACATGATAGAAGCCTATCAGGTGTGCATGCCTCTTGCGTAATGAATTAATCGGAATGAGAAATTGTGAACGATGCAAACTTGATAAAAACCTCGATCTCACAATAATGTTCAAAATTAAGCGCGGTTAATAGTTGGTCAGCAGATGACCGGCAGGGGTTATCTTACCTATAACAATTATAAATACTTAATTGAAAATTGATTAGTAACTGGTGTGGTTCCTCAATTAAGAGAACCGTTAATAGACGAAAATTTCTTACGAAAAAAATCTGTTAATAAAGCCGCAACAATATTACGATGTGACGTCATCGTACACTTGATTTTCTTCCCGGTGAATGAAAGCGTTTCGTTGCGAATGAGAGAAATTTTTCGAATTTGTTAAATGATCCCCAATAAAATAATTCATGTCATACAGGTGAAGAATAATCTGTTTTCTAGACTCTCACTGTAGCACCTTGTAGCAAATTTATTACTCTTATGTCTAATTATTTATTAGTCGAGGTGAAGCAACACAATCCCCGCGTATGCATTGATTCATTTTAACAAATTCTGCGAATTCATACATGGCCTTAACCTTATTATGAACCGCCATCAATTTAAACAATATATCAGTAAAAAATATAAAAGTATACGGACAAACAAACAATTGAATATTCTCCACAAAAATTACATTGTATTCAACCAAAAAATTTGATGCTATAACACCAATCAATTGAATAATAGGTCAGCAAAAAGTTGAATAGCGTACCACCTAAAACATGAAAAATGCACAAACAACAAAGAAAAAATATAGCTTATTGATTGAGGGTATTATTGTACCCATTTACCCAGCTAAATGATTGAGGATATTCAGTCATCCAGCTAAATGATTGAGGATATTCAGTCACTCAGTTAATTGATCGAGGGTATTCCCTTATCCAGTTAATTTACTTTACAGAGAAATACATTGCTTGTAGGAATTGTCGTTTGATATTTGCTGACTGTTGATTGTGCGCTAGTTGTGCTCTAAATATATTATCCATATAATTAGCTATGTTAAATAGAATATATATGAATAAATTTTATGTGCTAATATCTTAATTTAGGAGTTTATTTAAAAAGAATAACTTGAGACTTCTATCGATGTTTTTATTAATTCGTATTGAAGACGTTCAGTCTCTGCCGAGATTGAATAGCTGTCGTTACCAGTTGGTCATTTTAAATTAATGAAATGTTTTAAATTATTGGATTATTTATTCTGTGTAGCAATGTATAAAGACAATTTCTTCGGGTGATTCGTGTCACGAAAATTACATCGTACGTATTGAGCACGTGGTCGAAATATTAGTTTTTACAATTATTTCACCGACGCGCAATTCATTTCACTTTCCAACTATCATTTTCCGAATTACATTATTAGGTTTTAAGCAAGTTTGACGGCAGCCAATAAGTGGAAGAAACAAAATATTCATGTTAACTAGTACATGGACATGTGTGAACCTGAGCACACGTGTTCTTCCTAACATGTTCATGTTAACAATGACATGGGACATGAACATGTACCTATGCACACGTGTTCTTGTTGACATGTTCATCTTGACAAGAACATTGGCGTGAGAACCTATGCACATGAAGCTCCCGTTAACATGCACATATTATTGAGAACTAGAACCTGAGAACATGTAGGATGTTGTTCAGTGCTCCTCGATATTGTGCGTCGTGGCGTTATTGTATCGTCCCTACATTACTAAAACCATTATTTGGTTATTTATTACTTAATTAATCTGTACATTAATTAATAAATTAGATTTTTGCAACCGTGATTTCGTTTTGAAGTAAATATGGTTGTAATAATCAAATTTCAAATTAATAAATTTGAAATAAACTAAAATAAAATTTTAGGATTTCGAATTAAAAAATTTGAAATATCTCCATTTGAATTCTTGAAACAAATTGCACACCAAAATTTTATTAGAATACAAAAAATTTTGTATTGTGTAATTAACACAATTAGTTGACATTAAATACATGCATGATTAATTGATCGAAAAATTCAGTTGAATTCGAACTGGAAATAATTTATGCATTTACGCCAACTCGTCGCCTAGTTAATTGTTTGTGGTATTTCCAATGAATGCATTTATCGATTATTCATTATTTATTAACTAATATATGTATAGATGTTTTCTTTCAAGGCTTAAGAGGCGTCTCAAAATATTGAATAAATGAATGAACAACTATTGATTGTCATGCCGCCCCTAATCACATTCAATTAACTTTTCAGCTTCTTAATCATGCTGATTTCGTTCGCTCTCAAATTAAAGATATAATGTATCTCGTACTCTAATAAGTTCAACTTTCTCAAGTCACTTCTTCAGAAGATGTTCATCGTATGACTTTAGTTTTAATTTCTGAGTGAAGAAATATAAAATATTTTCACTATTCATCATTGTCTAATATTCAGCATGTCAAGTGCATGGTAATGATGCTATCAACTCTATCTATTGTTGTGCGAAAATTCCATAGTACTGCTTTAGTTAATCTAATTTTGAAAGCTTCTTATGATGAAAATATTTCCTCACTGTATACCTTTATTTTAGTTTGTTACTAGCAACGCAGTAGAACAAATTTGTAAATAACAATCATAGGTTTTCATCATTGGGTTATATTTGAAGGTAATACTTATAGGTCTTCATCATTGGGTTACTTGAGTGTAATAATTGAAAGTCTTCATTATTGGACAATCGAAAAGTTTTTTTGCCTAATCTGACCGAAGCCAGATACTCGAAACATACATAATTAATTAAGTCCATAATTGTAATGATTTCTTAATGATTCTCAAGCAAATGTTCCGCAAATCAGGATATTATTTAAGCATCTCAAAACTGTTCGCTTTGTAGAATTTCCGCTCGGCCAAGCTCATCATAGAATATATATAAATATATGGAATGAATCAATTACTTTGCTTATTTAACCTTCATATACCTAAGTAAATTCGTTTTGTCTTCTGCATTTTCAGAGCAAATTCGCAAAAATCCCTAAGTTGAGTAATTACAAGCCATCAAAAAAATCATTTCTTTCACCCTACCCATGATTAGCATTGCAATAAGAGCATTTAAAAAAGATATCGAGAGAAGAATGGAGGTGAATAAATGATTTTTAAACTATACTGAAATTTGATAATTCTGAGAAAATCGTGGATTAACTCATGGATAAATTAGGTATGAAGGTATCTAAATTGTTAATTATATTCATGGATTAACTTGTGGCCATACGACCTGCTTCAGAGGCGATGAAGGCAGGCAGTCGCAGAGGATGCCGAGGGAAAACTGCGGCCTTCCATGGCAGGATGACACGACGCCGCAGTTCAGATTCCTTGCAAAAATGTCCTATTAAAAACTATTTCGAATTCCAAAAGTATTTGCTATTTAATTTCTGGCACCTCGAAAGTTTTATCTGCATGAATTTGAAATTTGCTGAAGAGGAAAATAAAATTTAAGAGATCCGAGTGCCTGGTCCATGTTGAAGGGTCCATGAACTTTTAGCCAAGAATTTCATGTCCGCTTACAAGTTATGTAGAAGCCTTCAGTAATAAAACTTCTACTTAACTCAAAGTACAGTCTTTTATTATGGCGGAGCCAGCTATAACCGGATGCACTTGGCAACTTAAATTAAAAATTTTTTTTTAATAATTTATTTCATGGAAATTTTTCCTCGTAACGTATCTTGCTCACGAGCGAAGGGGATGACAAACTTTAGAAAAATTCCAACTCTAATGAAAGAAAACTCATTTCCGGACGAGAATATCACTTCCCGGAAGAGCAAGTCCATTTAACAATTTCCTTAGGGACTTTTCAAGTCTCTTCCTCTAAGGTCGGCAAGGTTCGCCGCTTTCCAACGTCTCACAATTTCTGGCACGACTCGATTTCCGGCGCCGCAGTTCCGGACCTACGAGAAGATCTCATTTTTGCTCGAAGAAACAGACTGACGGCGGAGGAAGTCAGGGAAGCGGAAATTGTCCTCGGGAAGTATTTACGCAATTTTATGATGTAATATAATTAATCTTTGCGAGTGAGCTATTTATTATTCTTCTTTTACAGGCGAATAAAAAGTTTTTGATTAGGCTTATTTCATCAGGGCTTCAATAATCCTATACTCGAAACTTGAAGTTAAAAACAAGAGAAGTTCCCAATAGTCTAGCTTCAAATTTCTCCTAAGTTTAATTTAACAGGAACAATTAATGCTTTGAAAGAAGACTGGAAGACTCT